TGGGGCCATCTGGCTATATAAGCGGGCGTTCGCCACAGGATTCTCAGGTTACTTCGACTGAAGTGATGACTGAGTCGTGCGGCTACATAGCACGGCTAGCAACGCAGTACTCGTTCCCGTATCTCAGTTGATACTGTTGATACTACACTCGTACTGCGTCTGCTAAGACACTATGGGAACACAGTACAATCACGCCATGCTAAGGTAGAGGAACGACTATAAGTATCATAACTTCCATAAGCAAACAATGCCCACAGCGAAGTTTACAACAACCCAAGGCTAAGACGGGCTGAGCTTCTTGAGGTCACACTCGGCCTGGTTAATCGTTCCAGAGTACTCCTGCAACTTCGGCACCCAGGGGTCAAGAGCTGACAGGTGAGCTAATGCCAGAGAGCTTGAGCGATATGGTCAAGGGCTCTCTGTCAGATCTGTTTGTGTAACGCGGCGCGTCTCTTCAAGCGGAGAGGATTTCCAGGTTGTAAAACCTTGCGAATGTGGATGGCGAGGCCCAGCCGGCTATATCCGCAATGGACACACTGCTGGACCATGCCCAAGACGAGGCGATGCCTCTAGTAGAATGGGCCCATACTCCAATGGGACATTGAAGGCCCAAGGAAGAGTATGCTAGCGTGATGGCGTCTACTATCCATCTAGAGAGTCTTTGCTTCGTGACCGGATGCCCTTTGGTGCAGTTACCGAAGCTGACAAAGAGTTGTTCCGACTGTCTATAAGGGGCGGAGCGCTCAATGTAAATTCTCAAGAGCTCTGACGGGGCAGAGCAGAGATAACTCTCTGTCCTCTTCAGAGGGAGGAAGCGCAGAGAGAGTAATGACCTGTGCTCTGAATGGAGTGGAGAGCACCTATGGTACGTAACCATGCTTTGGTTTTAGGACGACCTTAGAGTCGTTAGGCCCGAATTCCAGGCAGGCAGGGCTAATGGAGAGCGCCTGCAGGTCCCCTATTCGCTTTACTGATGCTAGTGCCAGAGCAGTCTTCAGTGACAATGACCGAATGTTGGTAGACTGTAGCGGCTCAAAAGGAGGGCCCTTCAGGGCCCTCAGCACAGTGGGCAGATCCCATGAAGGGACGGTTAGGGGACGAGGCGGATTCAGCCTCCTGGTGCCCCTTAAGAAGCAGATAGCCACGCTGTTTCTGCCCTCCGATTGGCCCGCAATAGGGGCATGAGAGGCCACTATAGCTGCCACATAGACTTTGAGAGTGGATAGGGAGCGTCCCTTATCCAGCAGCTTTTGCAGGAATGACAACACCTCTGACAGATCCGAAGTAGGAGGGTCTTTGCTGCGGTTTAGACACCAAGCGGAGAAAATAGACCACTTAAGGGCATAGAGGCATCTCGTAGATGGGGCTCTAGCCACAGAAATTGTGTTTAAGACTTGCTTTGGGAGGCTCGAAGGCTCCCGTCAAGCGGCCAAAGGTGTAGGGCCCATAGATCGGGCCAAGGGTGCCATATTGTCCCGTTCGCTTGTGGGAGGAGATCCAGTCTCAACGGAATGGGCCAAGGGGACGCTACCAACAGCTAAGTCAGCTCTAATAGCTACAGCTGGTTCATTCAGAGAGGGGCCACCAGGAGAACCTTGTGTTTTTGTTCCCTGATTCGCCTGATTACCTGTGGGATCAGGGCGATCGGGGGAAATGCATAGAGAAGGAGGTTGGGCCAATCGTGGGCCAACGCGTCCTTGTCCCTGGTCTTTGAGAAATAAATTTGGCAGTGAGAGTTGTCTTCTGAGGCGAAGAGGTCTACCTCAGCCTCGCCGAAGATCTCCCAGATCGTCTGAACCATCTGCGGATGGAGCGTCCACTCCTCTGAGGGATCATTGCTCCTTGATAACATGTCCGCTCCTTGATTCAATTTGCCCGGTATATGCGCCGCTCTCAGCGAGCGCAGGTTGAGTTGAGCCCATTCCAGGAGGCGCTCTACCAGAATGAAGAGACGCTTCGAGGAGAGGCCTCCTTGGCGATTTGTGTAGGACACCACTGACATGTTGTCCGACCGGATTAGCACATGGTGCCCTTTTAGGACTGGCAGGAAGAACTGACAGGCTCGACACACTGCTAGCATTTCCAGGCAGTTGATGTGGAAGCCTTTCTCCGCCTTCGACCAGTGGCCAAAAATCGGTATGCATTCGCACAGCGCTCCCCAACCTGTGTTGGAGGCATCTGTCGTGACAACTGTCCTTCTACAAACCATTCCCATGGTCATGCCCTGTTCCATCCAGCGAGAGCTCTTCCAGGGGACCAGGGCTGTTATACAGGCCTGATTCACCCTGATCTGCAGGCATCCATGACGCCATGCATGGGATGGAACCCGTGGTTTCAGCCAGTGCTGAAGAAGAAGAAGACCCAACTGTAGCGCTGGCGATGCCGCAGCCATGATGCCTCTGAAACGATTTGAGAGGGCGAGTGGTACCAATCTCGAAGGATTTCGCCAGCCTCCGTATGGCCAGAGCCTTGAAACGCTTTGAGAGGGCGAGTGGTCCCAATCTCGAAGGAGGTCGCCAGCCTCCGTATGGCCAGAGACCGTTCCGGTGCGACTACAGCTCTCATTTGGGCTGAGTCGAAAATTGTTCCCAGGAATGATATTCGCTGGCTGGGGAACAACGCGCTCTTGACAAAATTGACCCTGAGTCCCAGGCACTCTAGGTGGCTGAGGAAGAGGGTCCTGTGTCATACTAGTTCTGCCTCCGACTGGGCCAGAACGAGCCAGTCATCAAGGTAGTTGAGAATGTGGATTCCCATCTGTCTCAGAGGGGAGAGAGCCGTGTCCATGCACTTCGTAAAAGGCGAGGGGTTGGATCAACTCGAGTGACTGGCCGCACGGGGGCAGAATACTCATGAGTAATGGAAGAGGAAGTTTGCTCTCTTTTTGAAAATGTTTGTGTTTTATTTTTCCCGCTATAACAGCGGCTGATTGCTCGGGCGCTTGAACGGACCCATTGTTTGCAAAAAACACATTTTCCTCTGTACCCGGAGTTGAACGGGGTGTCAGGAGGTCTAAGAGAGGCTGCTTGGGAGGCGGTCCAGCCATAGCGAGACCTGGCCCCATCCTCTTTCCTGCTTTGGCAGGAAATGTCGCATAGCTTGGGACGATTTCTGTGCCTCCGTGAAGCGCTCGGCGAATCCTTCGACCGCCGGTCCGAAGAGACCCTTGGGAGAGATTGGAGCGTCATGGAAGGGAATCTTATCCGCGTCCTTGATTTCCATTAACGTCAGCCATAAATGGCGCTCGAGCACCACAAGGCTGGCCATCAATCTCCCGATCGCCTGAGCAGTGGTCTTGGTGGCGCGCAGAGCCAGGTCGGTTATGCTCCTCAGCTCCCTGAGGGTCACGGGGTCCAGGCCAGACTCGTCTGAGGATGCGAGGAGCTTGGCCTGAAAGACCTGGAGGATTTCCATTGAATGAAGTGCCGAAGCCACCTGTCCAGCTGAAGTGTAGGCGTGTCCAGCGAGAGCTGAAGTTGTCCTACACGGCTTGGACGGGTGAGCAGCCTTTGCTCTCCAGTCGATAGCCGTGGGCGGGCAGAGGTGCACAGCCAAAGACTCATCCAGGGGAGGCAGCTTATCGTACCCCTTCTCTTCAGCGCCGTCGATTGAAGTGAGGGCGGATGAAGCAGAAGTACGGAGGCGGGCGGAGTAGGGAGCGCGCCATGATCTGGTGAGTTCATCGTGGACCTCCGGGAAGAACGGAGAGGAACGCTGACGAGGGGCCTGGCGGCGCCCCAGCAGGAACCATTCATCCAGACGACTGCGAGAGGGCTCCTCTGGTGGAGACCACTCTAAACCCAGCTCTTTGACCGCTTTTGAGAGGATACGGAGAAGTTCGGCATCCATCCCGTTTTTGGCGGTGCTGGGCGCGGACGATGGCAAGGGGGTGGGGTCGGTCACTGAACCCAACAGCTCCTCTGCGTCCGAGGCTGTTAATGACATGCTGTCATCAAGCAGCTCATCCTCACTTCCCCCAAATGAGACCAGGTTGCTCGCGCCGGCAGAGGGACGCTGGTCAGACTGGGAGAAAATTTACGGAAGAACTCTCTCTCTGGGGCTAGGGCGAGGCACGCAGGATCTGAGCCGACGTGAGCTCGCTCACAGCCGGACGCTCGAGTCCTCTTCCCCGCTGATTTTTCCTCACAGGTCCCTGGGAGGAAGAAAACGGGAGGGTGGAAGGGGCGGAGTCGCTCTCTGAAAATAAAGCGATCCGTGAGTGAAGAGAGGTGAGACTGAAGTTCTCGCAGTGAGAACACTCAGTTCCCGAGAGCGCAGCTTCCGCGTGGGATTTTCCCAAGCAGGAAACACACTCGTTGTGGCCGTCATCGGCGTGCAGGGGAGACCAGCACGAACCGCAGTAACGGCATGGCATTTGCAACAACGCCAAGCTCTTTTAGTAAGCTCTTTTAGAATCGCCGGATGGCGGCAGGGGAAATGAACCGGAACTGCTGCGTCGCTGAAGCGGCGGAGAAGCAGGTCAGCCATGCTGAGAAGTCCCGATTCCAGCTGCGAAGGCATGTCAACGGCGAGCAGGCTTCGGATCAGCATAGAGCATAGTCGCTGCTGAAGGAGAAGAAATCTGAGAAGCCTGTGGCGAACTCCCGCTTATATATCCAGATGCCCCGCCCATTCTGGCTGGCTTTGTCGCCATAGGCTCGTGCAGCTCTGCTGCCGGAGCCATTGGTTCATTTTTTATACACTGCACGAACCAATGGCTGTGCAGTTTCACTGCGTGATAGAAAAAAGGCTTTTTCCCATAGTGTCTTAGCAGATGCAGTAAAAGTGTAGTATCAACAGGGAACCTTGGATTGTTTTGGTTATTTTCTATGAGTTTGTGGATATGCTCGGCCCTGGCAGCTTTTAGAGCCTGTCTATAGCTGGACATACTGTTTTTCCACGCAATTCTAAAAACTTCCAAGTTAGTTTTTCTCCATTTGCGCTCAAGATTACAAGTTTTTTTCTGTTGTACCATGGCACAGTACGTTTTTCTCTAACCTTTTTCAATTTGATGGGGGCAACAGCTTCTAGTGTATTAGAGAAAATAGTGCCCATGTTGCTAGTCATTTCGTCTAGTTCATGTGTATTTATGGGTACACAGAGCAGTTGAGATAAATCAGGCAGGTTATTTGTGAATCTGTCTTTGGTGGCTGGAACAATAGTTCTTCCTGGGCAATAACGTGGAGGCATATAGTTCATAACAGTAATACGCAGCATGCACGATACAAGGAAATGGTCAGTAACATCATCACTTTGAGGTACGATATCTATATCAGTAAGATCAATTCCATGCAATATAATTAAATCTAGCGTATGATTAAAACGATGAGTGGGCCCGGTGACGTTTTGCTTGAC